CTTCTTTCCATCTTGCTTCCCCTCCTTCCCCGTTTCTTTCCTCTGCCTCTTTTCTCCATATGATTAGTCCTGAATCATGTTCCAGTGGATGTACTTCTCGGCCAACTAAACTAATAAATACGCTCTACATGATTGATCCTTCTGCCCGTCCTGTTTACATAGTGTGTGCTCCCCTGCGCCAAGGGGCGTTGACCTTTCACACACAGGGAGGCTCACCCTCTTTATCTCGCATCATTGTGCAGCTGATGAGTAGATTGCAACCAATCAGGTGGGAAGGTTTCGCTCACTATAGCAGAGGAACACACTCAGATCTGCGCGAGTGGGAATGACAGGGGGAAGATGGGATGTTTTCCTCCTCTGTTCACAAAGGAATACTTTCACTGCCCCTGGCAGAAGGCTTCTTTATTAAAGGGACCAGATGTGGCAGACAGCAGTGTGTTGTAATGTAGCCACTGTGTCATGAATCAACTGCTCTGTTGATCTTGGGACCAGCCGTGCCCCCCGGTAAACTCCAGAGTTCAAAGGTTGTCTCTCAAGCTTGTCTCTAATCTGCACTCCAAAAGAGAGGAGAGGTCTAAATTGGCCGTTGGCATTACACTGGATGTACATTTCTGGGCTCATGTTTGACATTGTCTGGTACTAGCTCACCAGCTGTGAAGGGTTTCATGTTTTTCAAATTGTTGTCCGTTTCCAGCTGTCTCCTTAGCTTATTATGGGTATTTTGCACAGCTTTATAGTATGAGGAAGTAGTCAATGACAGTTATTGTTCTTTGAAAATTTGACCCAAAGAGCCCTTTTTTCCCTCCTTGAAGGAGTGTTAACAGAGAAATAGAATAGCAGTGATACATAGCTCAAATAATGGAAGATCAGTGACACTTCAAACTGTCAAAGTTCTCTGAACTTTGACACGAGCGATTGAAGCAACAACCAGTGGGAGCTAAGTATACTGTTGATTGACATATGACAGAGTAAGGAAGGTTACCTACACAGAAATGTCTGTTATAGCAGCTGTTAGCGGCAAAGTGATACTTGATGGGGGGAAAAGCCTTACATGTGGAGAAGGTAGGCGCACAGTGTTTATTAGACCTGCAGTTCTATGAAACCATTGTAGAAAAAAATCTGCTTTCCCTTTCCCACCTCTGCTTTCTCATCTCTGGTTTCCCATCATGACATCAGCTATTCTTCTGACACCATCCAGCCCCCCCAACATTTGACCTGGTGACAAAAGGAGCCTGTCCTTTTCATCTACTTTTAATCTTACCCTCAGTATTAATATGACTACTTTGGACGTTTGCTGCTTTGAACAGAAGTGACCCTCTGCCAGCGGCCAGTCCATTCACATACATATTTGAAGAATGTTTCTGTTTCTTTATTTTTCCTTCTAGCAATCTCCCTAAGGTATGGAGGAAATGGAAAGACTGAGAAGAGCAAAAAAAGAAAGTGAGGGAGAAAGAGGGAGCGGAGATATTCTAGGGGGGATTGTGGGAACCCACTGATAAAGGCGTGCATCTTAATCCATCCTAAGGCCTGTCTTATGCTCTGCTATAAGCTTTTATGTGATCATTAAGAGTGTGTGCCCTCACGCACACCCACATGCATGCTTTAGGTATAAGTGTGTGTATGTGGCTTTGCATATTTGATATGTTAATGTTCACTGATGCTGTGGTAAAGTCTTTTTGAATCTTGTATATCAAGGCTCCTCGAGATCCTTACAGTAGATGTCTTCTATAGAAACATGGCACACCCACTCGTTTTCACAACAAGGTAACAGTACTACAAGTGGAGTGCATAATGACTTGTTTTATAGCATATAAGTATATTAAAAGTACTAATTAATGCTCTGCAATTCCTCTCTAATGCTTTGCACTAGGTAGGGATTTTCTGTGTGTGTCTCTCTCTCTGAGGTTATGCCTTCAGCTCCCTTGTTCCTCCTTGAGCTTTAGTGGAATTTGGCTGATGTGCGCCGAGGGGAGGAGAGGAAGGAGGCGCTCATCTTGTTTCAGTGCTTTATGAGTCTGACGTGTTCGTCTGTAATTGCAGTTATGGGTGATTAAACTCTCAATGCCCCTCAGGATCCACAGCCAGCTATCAATCAGCGTCGGGCCGAGCTGCACAGCTCTCAGATTGGTTCCTCTGTCTGTCTTTCAGATATCCTGCTTCATGCCGCTCTGTAACATAGCCGTATAGCGGAGCTGCAGTTTGCTATTTTCAAAATAGGCAAACACATGTTGCATTTTGAGTTTAATCAAGTGATTGTAAGAAAAGGGGAATGAACTGCAACTTTTCCATGAGGTGTCATCCTCCCTTGTTTATATTTTTCTGTTTAACAAAGCTGAGGCTTAACAAGCCTTAAGATAAGTCGGTTTGTGAATTCTTGACTTTACAGGTCACTTGCCAAGCAAAGTAGCCACTTAATGGTTAAAAATTTTAAACATTTTCTAATGTATTTTTAGTGGTTACATAAATACATAATATGCCATGTGCGAATAAAATTCCATTGAATAAATTGAGTGATGAATTATTGTTTTTGCTCTTTTTTTAATATCCTCCTCGTCTGTGTGTTTTAGATACTTGCTGAAGCATATATGTGAGGCAAATCATCTTTTATAATTTAACTCTAAAAGCCGATGTGTGTGGGTGGGTGGGTGGGTGTACGTGGGGCTTTTGAAATTAATAATCTGTTGATGGCTTCATGGTTTCTTTTATGTTTATGTATTCATACCCATGCTGTCATGCATGGCAAATAATTGCAGTGTGTTTGCATGTGTGGTAACATATTTATGACTTAAAACAATTGGTGGGTAGATAGGGGGATCGGGGGGTTGGAACTTAGGCCTGCTACTTGCTCGTCTAATTGGTGAGTGTTTGCATCCGTGTGTGTTTATGAAAAATGTGCAACTTATCTACAGAGGCAATATACAACCGCGGGAGTCTTGTCCTCCTCACTATCCTCCTCTGACACTCCAATGGCAAGAGGACAGCATTTTCTCAGCTGAGAGAAGATGGCAGCCAGGCATCTGAACATTCCCTATCGCAAGGATTTGAGTCCAAGCAAAACACTTCAGTATGTGTGTGGTAAAGAGAAGTGTGCCTGTTTGTACAAGTTATCTGCCAGTGGCCTCCTCCCATTAGTTTGCTGACTTGGTTGAGCCCTTGTCTTCTGTTGAAGGTTGTGTGTTTTCATTTCTTTGTCTCCTCCTCTGTGTTGTACTTCTGGATGCAACAAGGATAAAGAAAAGAGTAATTCACACCCTCGTTGCCCTAAGGATCCTTGTTAGATATGGCAGAGTGACCTCACAGTGGAGGATGCAGTGCCAAGAGGGCAGGAAAAATAATTTTTCTCAAAGCAAAGGCAGAAATATGAAGAAAAGAAAATAGATTGAAGTGAAGAAATGACTCCTCTTGCACCACATCTAAAGCCTTCGCCTAGACTGGAGTATCTGTCTGGGTAAAAGGCGAAGTCTGTAGAAGTTACAGACTGATTCATTTGTGAAAGCCCACACGGACACTAAAAAGTATGAATACACTAAGACCTCATACACAGTGCCATTTTATTTTTTGCATACTTGTCACACTAACATGTTTTAGATAATCAAACAGATTTTAGTATTAGACAATGATGACTTGAGTAAATACAAAATGAGATTTTAAATGACAATTTCCTTTATTAAAGCTCCAAATTTGGGCCCTACGTTGAAAAGCAATTGCCGCTATTGTTAAATCAAAGCTAACCACATTTGTTTCTTGGAAAGCTGAGTTCAATTTCACTAGTCACAGACGTGTTGATTCAAGAAATCACGTACATAGAACCTGTCTGGTAAAGTGAAGTAGGCTAAAAGATCTCAAAAAGCAACACATTATACCACGAGCTAAAGAAATCCAAAAACAGGTAAGCAACAAAGTCATTGGCATTTGTCAGTCTGGATAGGTTTACAAAACCATTTCTGGGACTCCAGCGAACTACAGCGAGAGCTGTTATCTACAAATGGAGAACAGTGGTGAACCTTCCTATGAGTGGCCAGCCTACAAAAGAATGTCTCAATGGTCACGAAAGAACCCAGAACAACATCTAAAAAAGTGAAGGTCTCACTTACCTCAGTTAAAGTCAGAATTCATGTTTTAACAATTAGAGATTCGGCAAAAATGCCCCCCCAAAAAAACACTGCTGGATTCTGATAATTCTTGAAATTAAGAAGAGGTAAAAAAAAAAAAAACATGCTTCGTCAAACATGTACCTGAATGATTTGCTGCCACACACCAGTAAGTATACCTCTGAATCGCTAAAAAAAAGGAAAAAACCCAAAAACAAATGAAGGTTTCAGATTGGTGCAAGAAAAACTTCCAATATGGTTGAATTAAAACAATTGTACAAAGAGTGGGATGAAATTCCTCCACAGCAATGTGAAAGACTAATTGTCTGTTATCCCAAATGCTTGATTGCAGTTCTTGCTGCCAAAGCAGGCACATCCAGTTATTAGGTTTAGGGGGCAATTGTTTTCTCATTTATAGACCAGATTGGTCCTGCGACTGACTGGTGACTCCACCCCACTGTTTGCATGGATTTAAAAAGAAGGAAAAAAATTAGGAAGGGACAAATACTTTTCGCAGTACTACAGACTTGGTGTATAAGTGAGTATTTCAATTTTGTTTAATAAAAATAAGAAAAAAATGTAAGTGATAGGGTTGAGTGGCATGTTAAAAGCTTCCAGTCAGCTAATGTTGGTCCATCAACCGGTAATTCCCAGTGTATTTGCCAACAGCTAACGTATTTATCCTCTTAACCCTAGTATGCTGGATTGTTATCTCAATATGAGCATTGCTTCTGCATGTTATGAGGGCTTGAAGTTTTCTTTTTAATGTTTTTTTTTTTTTTTAAATATTGCAATTTGTGTTTTTGAGTCTATCAGTTTACTTTGGCTTTTCAGTGGGCAAAGGGGGAAAAAAGCCCTTTAAGTTGGTGGAAAAACCCGAGCTGAAGCCTCTTTTGAAAGTTTTGCTGGGCAGCATGTGTTTGTTGGCAGACTGCCAGTGAAAATGCAAGAGAGGGGAAGTCAGCAGACTGGCTGTCTTCTGTTCACTGTTGTTCAGATTGACTCTGTCAGGCTGGCCTTTGAGGCCTGTAATCCAGGTGGTCTGTTCTTTGCGGTGCCCGCTTCCCTCCTCATCCTCCCTCTCTCCCTTCACCTCCGCTGCCCCATGCCCACAAACACGCCTGGCATCAGCGGCTTCCTCTCTGAGCAGTGGTGTCTTCCTTCCACCAATCACATGGCTCTGCAGTTATGGGCACATTGGTGTAAGCCAATGAACGACACCTGTTTTTCTCAGGAGTGGTTCTACATGCCAGTCATAACACCCACTTTATTTGGCCTCTGTCACAAAGCCAATCTCAACACGTAATTCACGGGCATCCAGGCCATGAGAGGCACAGGCAAGAAGAAATATGGATTTTAGCGATGGGGAAAGGACTTTCTCGAAAATTATTTTCCCAGCACAAATGTCACAGAAAATCTGTGCTGCATCATTGCATCATCGGAAAAAAGTATCATGCAGTAAAGGAACCTTTTGATAGGACTGAGGGATCATTGTTCGGTGGTAAGACTGGAAGAATGACTCATTTTCTGCCTGAAAGCCTGAAAACTTTTCCCATGTTTCTGTGTACACCTGAGACTAGTTGAAGGGATCACATGTTTTAGCTTTTCCAACATGTATATGTTTTATTTTATTACAAAGATTTTCCTTTTTCAAGCCTGGTTAAAAAACATATAGTAACTGTCACTTAAGAGCTGCTGTGGTGTTGTCAGTCGATGCCATTCAGATTTCTTTGCACTGACCAAACGCAAACAAATTCCTGAAAGCTTTGAAAAAGTCTTTGTGCTTCACCAAATAGCTTGTTATAAGGGTTTATTGTCTATCATTGTAATTTTTTCTTAAGGTCAAGATTATGTATCAGATGTCTGCTTTTAAACAGTAACTTTTTTTTTTCTTTTCAATAACGTTAAATGACAGTAACCTGGGAATTTATGTGGTAAGTTTAATCTGGCTCTTCAGCCTTTGGTTTATAATACTGTACTAAAACCTCACTTTAATAATACAAGTATTAAAGAAACCATATAAAGTGTATTTCTTTACCAAAATGGAGAAAAAACATTTACATAAAAAAAAAACTATACTTTTTTGTGCTTAAACTGTTGATTAAATATCTGATGCCATTGTAACCAACTCAATCTCAAACAAGACTTAATTTGAACAGGCTGCTTGATGGAGGTCATGGTTCACTAATGTTATGTTTATAAGTTACAATTGCAGGGCTGTGAATCTGTTGGAAATAAAGAAGCACTTGCAATTGTATACAAGCATTATTGGAGGTTCTGCTTTAGCTTAACTCCCCTTAAATTTGGCTGGTCTTTGGCTTTTTCATCAACATTACACATTGTTTTTGGTGCTGGACTGCATATTTCTTTACATTGTTCCTTGAAAGCCACAATCTTCTGGACTTTCCAAGAATGATGTATAGGAGGGCAGAGAAATAACAACCTTTGTGTGATTAGTGCTCTATAGGGGACTTTTTTATAGTTAACATGAACTTTTTAGAGTCCATTGTAACCTGGACCAAAATAAATATTCAATGGTGATTTTATATCTTGTGATTTTGATTTGAAAAGAATTCGGCTAGAGTATGGTATAGCAATTGAAATATGCAACAATATATTTTTGGGGCTATTGTGGATGACACATAAATCGTCAGTGACCAAGGGCAGCTACCGGCCTTGAGTTGCTGAAGTTGATAACAGTAAATAATAGTCCTAGTTGCATGAACACAGCTTTTAGAGTCATTTCTATTACATTCTTTTAAAATAACCTTGACTGGGCGCTTTAGAAAACATGCAGAGCATACATAAGTGCATAGAATCAGTCAGTGGCAGATTCCTCTCCAACACCTCGAGATGCATCCGACTCCGTTGTGTTTTTGTTTTGCTGATGCTGTGTAAACACAGGCTAGTAGTGGTAGTCACATCCCTGGCAAAAGAAATGGGTTTTATAATGAAAGAACATGTTCAAAAGCACAAACATTAAGAAATAGAGAGAGAGCGGGAGACAGCAAGGCTTGGAAGCTGATCGAGGTATCAGTAGAGAGGAAAAGGAACTGGCAGCACTCTAACCAGTGTGTCTTCCCAGGACATAAAAGACTTGCTGCTCCAAACAGGGATTATCCTCCACCTCTGGGGAGTCCCTGTGATGAGCAGCAAAGGCAGAATAAAAGATGTGGAAAGACATTGAAGGAAACAGTAACAGAGCAGAGGAAGTATGGGGAAAAATTAAATGTGAAAGCATGTGCACTGGGGAGGGGTAAGACACATGCATCTATAGACTCTGATCCACATATATGTCAGCTCCACTTACGGACCTGCAGATGCTCAAGATGCTTCAGTTGACCGTGTTTGTGCTTTCTTCTTTTCTTTTCTCTTTTTTTCTGCAACCTCTCCTGACCCCATGAAAAATGTCCCATGCTGGTAATTCAGCCATGAGCCATATCCCTGTTTGTAGCATCTTCCTGAAAATCATCTCTCCAGGCTCAAACATTTTAAATCAAATGTGATCCTTCCTTTCTAGCAGAAAATACTTGTTGGAGATGCAGATTACAAAGGTCTACACTGCAAACACACAGATCTTAAGGATACCTGAAGAGAAATCATTTTGTGGTTAATGGGTAATTGGTCCACCTCTCCAACATGTCAGTGAAATTCAGCATATTAGTCTTTGCAAAATCTTGCTAATAGGCAGACAAAAACACAGCACATGGCCATGACAACAGCTTGGCTTTCACCTTGATTTAAGAACAATTGTCTCTTTCATGAAATTTCCAAAGTTGTCGCTTGTATCCTTCTGCAGCAAATTTGCTACACAGGGCGGTGTTTAGATTTTCACTTGCTTAAATAAAATATGAGTTTTAGAACCAGCAGTGTCACTAAGCAGCTCTTTTGGAACTTGGCAGCTGAATTAATTGTTGGTTTGAAATAAAGCATTCAGGGGAGAAACGTTACGCTGTTGACACAAGCTGTTTGAGTTGTCCATCTGACTTATTTTGTTAATAATGGGCCAAAAGGTAATTGATTTTGTGTGTACTGGACAGACTGTCTGTGTGCAATAGAGCAAGAGAAGGGGGCGGATGGAGGCGTGGGGGTGGTAAGGTTGGGCCTCAGTCAATGCAACTATATTTTCATGATTTTGCTTGTTTGTCTTGGATACAGCGTGCCTCCGATCCTCTGGCCTGCAGAATTTTGTGTTTGTTTTCGGTGAGTCAATGCACTGATCCAAAGTACACTCCTCCAGTGACAGAACTGACAGAACACACACGCGTGTTCTTCAGGACACACAACCTCTGGTCTTATTGGAGCGCATGTGTTCCCACCCAGTTTGCGAGGCCTCTTCCTGCATCACGTACACACATAGTTTCCCATCACCCTCCGAGCGGCCCCCAGTGTTATAAGCTTTCTCTGAGAGACTTTCTCGCACTTTGTTTTCCTCCCCCATTTGAATCTCTGTTATCTATTTATGAACCTCTAGCGCTCATTCTATGTGTTCATACATCGATCAGTCCATCTCTACCCATCATTCCCATTCCCTTCATCTCTGGCTTGTTCCCCAGAGGAAGAAGGAGAAGGAGTGGGGGGTGGGAGTCGGGCAGTTCCAGCTTACGGCCAGGAGCCAGCTCCTTCTCCATTTGGATTTCATTACAAACAGACCAGCACCTCACAGCTTACAACAAAAGAATAATAATCATAAGGGGGAAAATGAGAAAATAAAAGGTGGGTGGAAGACATCTAAAAGGCTTGTAATACAGTCAGTATATTTAATCTTTCCGCTGGGGCGGGAAATAAAGCTTTGGTGTTGATTCTGTGTCTCAGAACTAAATGTGAACAATCTACTTTTGTATTTTTGTATCTAGATTTGTGTAAGAGGACAATTACCATTTTTATAGGCTGAATACTGACTCGACAAATGAGTGCAGGGAAGGTGGACATAAGGCTCTGTGTGGGTCAACATCTGCCTTGGGCTAATTCCAGGTGTTGCAGAGAGTAAACAGCCACATAAACAGAGCCTAGACACACAGTGTTCAGCTTTTGAAGTGTTTCAGTGGTTCCTTGACACAAATGGAAGTTGTCAATCGCCCACTGTCTCCAAACACGTTAGGAAGTGACAAATTCCTCATCCTGATGTCACCAAAGGGTAGGGACAGTTTGTTTTTGCCGTCGTGGTAATTGGTATAATTAGTCATCAGTCACTGATGGCTTTATGACTCCACCGTAAATACAAGACACACCTAACATTTTCACTTCCACTCCTCCACATATAATGGTGAAATTTTTTTGATCTTCTGCATTTACATTTATTTTCCCTGCTAGCGGTGTTTGTATTAATCTTTTAAAGACTGCTCTTCATTATTTACTTAGTTGTGATGGCTTTTTGCTGACTTTTATTGCAGAAATTGCAGAAAAAAATCAGTTAAAGTTTCTGGATTCATTTTTGACTAGCCTGAAGGTGAAATACAGAAATCCATTCAGCTGTTTAGTTGGTTTAATTATATGACTTTATTATTTGTAGTGTGGCTTGCAATGTTCTTAAAAAGAAATACTGGCCACACAGACCTCAGATAACTTTAGTTTGTGTAGTTGCACGGCATCATCGAGCAACCATTTATTATTTTAATTATTGACACTGGTGCTTTTAGGCCCCTCTTATAGTCTATGTGTAAAAATAAACCACTTTGTTCTCTAATATTTTCTGAGTGTATAATATTAATATATATATATATATATATATATATGCAAAATTTTCAAGGTTTGTTTTAGTGTTTTTCTTTCTTTGTCGTTCCACAAACCATTTTCATTTTATTTCATAAGCGTAACCTTGCAGAAACATGACCCTTGTTTGAAACGATGAATGCATCATTGTGCCTAGGTATGAAAGTTTAAAAAAAAATGGATCTGATTCTTTGTACCCGCTGTTGCTAAATTGCATTCAGTGTGTTTGTGTTTGTAAACCATATACTTGGTCGTGCGCCTTCAAGTGTGTTTTGGCAGTGAGCAAGTCAGATAAGGGTCTGTGTTGTGATATTCATCTCTGGGCTCAACAAAAGAGGAAGTTCAATGAATCAGAAGCTTCCTGGCTGTGTTGAATTTCCCCAGTTACATGTATTCATAGCAGTCTTGGCCATGAAACCTTAAATGTCCTTAAAATGTTTAAATACTTTTTTTTTTTTTTTGCTTTGCAAATCTTAATCATAGAGATTTATAATATAATAAAGCAGGTGGTAAAGGTGATGTTTTCTCATCATCTTTTGTCTGCAAACTTCAAAAATCGCCTCCAAAACCTCCACATTATCTGATTAAGGTCATTCAAAAAGCCTGTCAGTCTTGACTGTCTTGAATATTACTGACCTCGTTTGACTTACTAAGCTGCTGTGGTAATGAATACTCAAACAGAGCTGAAGAACATCAGTTGCAGTGTAATCTTCTTCACCCGACAGCTGCTCTGCAGGCTGCAGAAGTAATTATCGCTCAACGCCATGTCTTTGATCAACTGGTATTGTC